CGCGATGCACGACGTATTTGAAGCGAGCAGTGCCCATGAAATACTAACAGAAATCCAACAAACTATACAAGCACAAAAGGTGCAAGGCAATCGCACGACGAAACTTATCCTGGCCGGGGATTTTAACCGCCACCACCCGGCATGGAGCCACCGGGCGGTCCACCACCGCTTCGCAGAACATGCAGATGAACTAATCAATTTCTTTCAAAACCACGAGCTGCAGTGGTGCCTGGCCCCAGGGGAGGCGACATTTTGGTCTCTGAACAAACCTGGGACAACATCGGTGCTCGATCTCACACTTACAAACGACATGACACGGCTGGTTAAATGCCAGCTTTATCATGACCACTATGGATCCGACCATCGAGCCATATACTCGGAATGGAGTCTCCAACCAGAGCAGGCTAAGAAGCCCAAACCGAGAAGGGCTTATAGCCGAGCAGACTGGGCCCGAATAGGCCAAATGATAAAAAGATTAATCGACCCACATCCGAAAATCCAATGCAAGCAGGGCCTAGATGAAACAGTTGACTCACTGATTCAAACCACAACAACTGCGTTGGACCAGTATGTGCCAGTCCAGGCCCCGTGCCCGTACTCGAAGCGCTGGTTCACGACAGACCTCAAGACCCAGCAGGTGGAAGTCAACCAAGCCCGCCGGAGGTGGCAGGATGGGTGTGCCACTTTAGGGCCCAACCACCCGGCTACCAAGATCATGTTTTTGGAAATGCACGAGAAAAGGCGAAAATGGACAAGGGCGATTGAAAAGGCAAAAACAAGCCACTGGAGAGAGTTTCTTGATAAAGCGGGTGAAGGCCAACTGTGGAAAGCAGCCACCTATATGCGCCCCCGAGACGCTTACACGAGCATCCCGGCAATCAAAGTGGGCACAGAGGAGGTTAATGATAACCAAAGAAAGGCAGAGGCATTTCTCGACTCTTTCTTTCCCAAGATGGCAGAACCCGGGGAGGAAGTAGAAAGTAACCCCACAGAAGAACTGCCGTGGGAGCCGATCACCGAACAGGAAATTTATCGATCACTCCGAGTCGCCAAGGGAACTACGGCACCTGGCAGAGATGGAATCCCCACGCTCGTATGGAAACACCTGTGGACTTACCTAAAAGAAACTATCACCACTATCTTCACAAAATCAGTGGACCTGGGCTACTACCCCAGTCAGTGGAAACAGGCGCGGATCGTAGTTCTGCGGAAGCCGGGGAAACCAGACTATTCAGCTCCGGGAGCATATCGACCGATATCTCTATTAAACACGCTGGGGAAGTTACTAGAAGCCGTTATGGCCCGAAGACTGTCCTATTGGGCGGAGAAATTCAAACTGCTGCCGGACACACAATTTGGAGGCAGACCGGGACGGAACACTGAGCAAGCCCTCCTGGTACTTGCCAACGCAATAGACAGAGCCTGGGTGCGATCCAGGGTAGTAACACTAATCGCATTTGATCTAAAAGGCGCATTTAATGGGGTCCACCAAATCAGCCTCGACGCCCGACTGCGAGCCAAAGGCATTCCATTGAAGGCCCGGCAATGGATTCGCAGCTTCATGGAAGACCGTCAAGCGAGTGTCGCATTTGATGATTTTGAAACGGAAACCCTACCTCTGGAAAATGCCGGCCTGGCACAAGGATCGCCACTCTCACCAATTTTGTTTGGATTCTACAATTCGGACCTGGTAGACCAACCGGTCGACAGTAACGGTGGCGCATCGGCCTTTATCGACGACTACTTTCACTGGCGAACGAGCTCGTCTGCAGAGGAGAATATCAAGAAGATCCAAGAAGAAGATATCCCCCGGATTGAATCGTGGGCACAAAAAACTGGCGCGTCCTTTGCCGCTGAAAAGACAGAGCTGATCCATCTAACACGGCGTAAAACGGCCCACGACAAAGGGCAGATAGTTATGAGCGGCCAGGTCATCAAACCAGCGGACACAGCCAAGCTCTTGGGCGTCATATTCGATAAAGAGCTACGGTGGAAAGAACATATACAGCAAGCAGTCAAGCGAGCAACCAAAGTGAATATAGCTCTGAGCGGGTTAAGACACCTCCGACCTGAGCAGATGCGTCAACTATACCAGGCATGTGTAACGCCAACCATAGACTATGCGTCCGCGGTCTGGCATAATCCGCTCCGAGACAAGACACATCTGCGACTTCTAGAGACAGTTCAAAGGACAGCCCTTATCCGAATCCTCTCAGCCTTTCGGACAGTATCCACAGCCGCACTCGAAGTTGAATCCCACATATTACCAACTCACTTGCGACTCAAACTACGGGGACAGACAGTGGCTGCTCGCTTCAGCACCCTACCGGACGACCACCCGGTCCATGAAGTAATAAGCCGAGCCAAGGAACGCAGCACTCATATCGGGACCGGTGCCCGTTTCCCCCTAGCGGAAACACTGCGAACCATGGACCTTGGGCGGCTGCAGGCTTTAGAAACAATCGACCCCAAACCACTGGCGCCGTGGCGGGCCCAGCCCTTTACGGAAATCGAGATCGAGCCTGATCGAGACAAAGCGCAGGCCAACGCCCTGGCGACGCAATCCACAAGAAGTATTACAGTCTTCTCAGACGCTTCAGGAAAAGGGAATCAACTAGGGGCCGCAGCAGTGGCTCTTGACCACAACCGGCAGATAATGGGATCTCGACAAATCAGTATCGGTTCAATGGAGTACTGGTCGGTCTACGCGGCCGAGCTTATGGCAATATACTATGCAATGGGGCTGGTTTTTCAATTAGTCCAGAAAAACCAAGCTACTACAATTACGACCCAAGGCCCAGCGACAATCCTCAGCGATAGTATGTCCGCACTACAGGTAATCGAACACTCATGGAATAAGTCAGGCCAGCGAATTATCCACGCTATTCATCAGTCTGCCAGGGAGCTAAAAGCACGAGGAATCCCACTGCGATTACAATGGGTCCCGGGACACTGCGGTGACCCTGGCAATGAAACAGCCGACCGTTTGGCCAAGGAGGCGGTTGGTGCAGAGAAGAAACATCCTTTCCAACATCTCCTATCGCGGGAGAAGGCTTTCATCCGCAACAAGATCAAGAGCGAATGGGAAGGAGAATGGAAGACCTCCAAGAACGGAAGGCACCTCCGCCGCATAGATCAAACCTTACCTGCAAACCGCACGCGCCGGCTCTACGGCTCGCTCCCCCGCAATCGAGCATACCTACTCACCCAACTACGGACCGGCCACTCGTGGCTCGCCACCTATGCCAAGCAATATCGCTTTCGAGATAACGAACAGTGTGAATGTGGAGCAACAGAAACCGTGGTCCATGTACTAATTGACTGCCCGCGGCTGAGAGCGCTACGGCAAGAATTGAGGCGGAAGATCGGCGGAGCGTTCAACAACATTTCAGATATGCTGGGAGGAGCAGGCCAAGGTAAGGAAGGTAAGTTAGGAGATGCCGCGCAGAGCGTCAGCGTCCTAGGGGCAGTACTGGACTTTGCAGAGGCGTCGCAGAGATTTCGAAGTCGCGCGCCACGAGGGCGGCAGAACAGAACACCAGGCAACGGCCAACACAGGCCTTGACGAGGCTCCAAGTTCGTCAGGAAAGTAATAGTTTACGGTGAAGGAATGTACATAGAGATTAGAGATAGTGGTACCCTGCATATCGCTTAAGGCGAGGGGTCAGCGTATGAATTATCATCATCATCATCGGCTGTACAGCTATCTATGGTCTCAATGGCGCGCAATTGGTGCCAGTATCATTTCAGGTGTGCTGGATTATACATGTAACGGCCAAATAACTTACTTATTACTTCAGGTTCCTACGGAATCATGGCGGTCGCGAATTACAATACTATACTTAGAGCTGGCATGTTATGTATGACCCTCACGTTGGAACAAAACTACATTGATCACGTCACAAAAAAACTTCCCCCGTTTGATTGTTCATAAAGCTCCTTATGCGGCTTCATTGTACTTTATCCCAAAAAATCCTTCGTAGCTTCGATTGGACCGGAAGACTTCGTTAGAAAATGACATTTGTCCGCTTTCTAGAAGGACTCTCGCACGGCGCACCCTATCTAGTCCCTCGCGGCATGTCTCAAATGCATCTATCAGCTCCAGTAGAGTAGCTTCAACGTCCGCCACAGCCGGTTCTTGCAAAATGTGGAGGGTTTGTTCCACAGCTCCGAAGGCGATATGGAACCGAGTTAGGGCATCATGGACTTTTTCTGCGCCCTGGGAAAGATCATCCACGGTGGGGCCAACAAATCCTTCGTGCAGCTGAATGGCAGATTTTCGGATTTGACGGAGCCACGCGTTTTCGGCCCTAAGGAATGACGCTTCCGAGACCACCTTCCGGTATTCATCAGCTCCCGTAAGGCACTCGTTTTTCGTTCTCTGGATGTTGCAAGGTAAAAGTTCTATAGCAGAGCTACGTCCCCCTTCGAGTGTTAGATAGCATTCGAATGAGCTTGGCGTGCCGGGGCGATCAGGTGAAGGTTCATTGTCGATTCGAGTATACAAGGAGGAACTGTGCTCAGTTGGTGCCATGAGCCCGTTCATATTTCTTGAGGGCTCTGTATTGCACATGATATAAAGATATATTTGAATGGAAGGCTCAATGCGCGTAGCACGCTTTTAATACCGTGAAATGTTCGCGCAGACTACATACAGTCTTTCCTTTCCTAAGACTTCGTTTCCCAGGCACACTATTCCTTATGTAGCTAAGTAGCGGTAACGGCTGTCCACTCAGGTTCATAGTAGACCACCCACTCGTCTAGCTGTGGGGCGTTATGTCTTGGCATTAGACTGGAAAGAAACAAAAGAGTGCAAGTGGTGACACCACTTCTCGGAAAGACCCTCTAGTAAATGCCGTGTCTACAGTATACTGCAAAAGCCTTGGCAAAAACGAGATGTGTACGAAGCGGATCGGGGCCTGACTGCCTGATCGCTTTGATAATAAATTGTGTGGTCCGCTCCAGAAGAAGAAAGATAATCTCACCCAACCTCCAAAGTCATGGATACCGATAACCGAACAGATGCGTCTTATGATTCCGCTGGCGTAAGTTATGATCTCTCGCTTTTGGATTTTCTGACTCAGTCAGCGTCCTATCTGTGATCTTTGCGAATGCTTGCGCGGACATTCGCACGACGCATCACTCGATCAGGGAGCCCACCTGGAGATTCAGGCCATCAACACTCTTTGCAACTCCCTCAATCAATTGACCGCTACGCTGGCCCACGAGCTGCAACAACTTTCCACGAGCTTCATGACAATTCAACGGAGACTTACCGATATGGAACGTGAACAAGCTATTCTTGAAAGACGATTGCAATCCACAGAGATGGCTTACGAGGCGAAGAGTCTGTTGTATGATGGAACAAAATTGCTCCTCGACAAGGCATTGGAGGCTCTCGAGAGACAAAGGAATTTGGTCTAGGCGAAGATGACATGGTGGCTTTTGAAGGGCATTTACCAGCTGAAGGCGGGTCTGAGAGAACAAGAGAATTGATCCTTCCTGGCTCTGTACCGTGAGACGTAACTCTACCATGTAGTTCGGTCCAGGCGCTCGTGCTACCAAGGGTGTAACAGTTGTGAAGGCAAAGTGCACTCTTTGGCAAAGCCTACCAGCGCATGCTTTTCGTGATGGGGTCAACTATAAAAGCTTCTGCTACTTACCAAGCTACCAAAGTTCTGTCAGAGATTTTAACAGATAACCATGGACTGGCTGAAGCTGGTCAGTAACTCAGCGGGTACTTTTCTTCATCATGGAAGGTGCCTGAGCCATATCAGAGAGCAGTTGGGTTCACCCCAAACGCAGTTCCCCGGACTCACCCTCTTTCTAGGCCAACGACAGAAAGACATTGCCCTTCGCTACATGTTTCCACAAAATCAGATATCTGAAGGAAAACCATACTTACAATTACAAGTAGATAATCAAACATTATTCGGGGACCATCCTATTCTCTTTGCAGGCTGTGACCTGCAACTCTCCCATCTGCAAACTGACGTGGAGCTCCACGGGCACGAGCAAATACGCATTCTCTGGGCATCACACAGCGAGCGCCGTCTTTTAGATCTCTTGTTTGCGCGTTTGCTGTTTTTGTTTGTGGACGTTATCTGTATATTTGCAGATGATGTCGGTGGCCTCGATGGGGTCCGAACGGCGCTCATGACGTGGGCAACACTTGGATGTGATGCATCTAGCTTGGAGCACCGACCACGAATTGTGGTTGTCATGGGAAGTAGCGCCAGTGTCACACAGGATCTGATGGATGAGCGCGACTTTGAATTTCTTCTTGGGCAGTATGTCGAGGTGACGAATGCCTTTGGTGCGCCTAGCATACTGTTCTTACCCGAAAGTGATCTATCTGGTGCGGCTCGATATCGACCTGTTAAGGATGAAGTGTTGAAAGCGCTTGATTTAAGTCGCCGACACCGCAAGGAGGACGGTTACTTGTTTTCTGCACTGCATCTCGAGCGGTTCTTCTACCGCGCGCTGCTTCACGTTTGTCGCACGACGGAGGAGCCATTTGAATTCATCCAAAGCGTCCGCCGTAATTTCCGGACAAGGGTCCATGTAGAGCAGTTGAGCGCCTTCTTGGATTTGGCCGGGTCACGAACATGGGACGATCGTGCGGAATTCATTGCGTCGACTATCTTACTTGACTCCTACATCCCGGGAGAGCACTGTAGGTGCTTGTTTTCCCATGTTTGAGTTGATGCAGCTGACCAGACTCCAGTCTTTAGCCCTGCCGCCGTCTTCGACTCCCTCTACCGCGCCCCTTGCCAGAACGCCCTAGTCGCACTCGGTTTACCATCGACAGATTGTCAGTTGATTGAGTATCACCTGGCCCGTTTTTATCAGCGTCTACTATTTGGACAAGGGCCACCACGCCGTATTCGGGAATCAGTCCTCTCCCAATGGAGAGACCTCCTGAGTAACACATATACCAACCGTACATGTCTTGCGTGCCTCACAGGGCCACCACAGCACGTTCTACGATGTGGTCATGCGTACTGCGATGCATGTGTTGTGGCATATGGCCAACTGATCGAGGATGCGGAGTATAAGTATTTGATCGGCCAATGCGTCCTTTGTCAAACTGACTGCAATAATTTGATCCAGATCCTGCCTCCGACCGCATGTGTGCGAGCTGTCACAGTGGATGGTGGTGGAGTGCGAGCCTTCATTCCACTCCGGTTCCTCTGCTATATGCAGGAAAGACTTGGAAAAGAATGCCCAATACAAGAATTATTTGATGTCGCCTTCGGCACAAGCTCGGGTACGTACACCTCACATGTCTTTCCCCTGGCAATTTGTGCTGATCCCATGCAGGTGGCTTTGCTGTCTTGAAGCTTTTTCATCAACGTCAGACTGTGGAGGATTGTGTGCACGCGCTCTCCGATATGATGTGGCGGTTCCTTCGACAGCATCCGCCGCCACGATCTGCCTGGGCGAAAGTTTCTCGGGCCCTCCACTGTTGGTGGACTGACGGTTGGTACAGTGCGAGCGCCTGGGACAAGCTGCTTCAGCAGCAATTTGATCCTGATCAGGACATGTTTGGGGTTCAGCCAGTGTCAGGGATCAAGGTTGCTGTCACTACAACGGCCGCTCACCCAGTACTTTTGACCAATTATCGGCGGGCCCCTGACGCGGCCGACGACGGGGGTAAGTCAGCGATTTCGTGCCACGGAGTACGAGGGCTAAATCAGTAGAACGAGTGTACTACCATGTCCATGAGCCAACGAATAATGCCGAGGAGCCCAAACTGTGGCAATGGTGCGTTCAAAGACGGTTTCCTACCCCTATCTCATAACCGAATAGGTATCTCTAACTTGATCACAGTGCTCGTGCGACAACCGCAGCCCCGGTGTTGGTTCTTTAATCTCCGTTTTTCGGATGTAGCCAGGCTAGCTAACCTGGAATAGTTTTTTCCCGCCAATTGAGATTCAAGGGGTTGGTAGCTGCGAGGATGGCGGCTTGAAATACAACAATCCGGCACCAGTCTGTCGATCCGAGCTCCAGTTCATGTGGTCCTCTAGGTCCGAGCCCGGGATCATGGTATCTCTTGGCACGGGATCAGCCGCCCTCGATCGTCTTCCTGCCACCTCACATCATCGCGACCGCCGTCGACGTTGGCCAAGTGGATTTGCCTTCCGCCTCTACGACTCGTTGATGGCGTCCATGGATGCCGAGCAAGCTTGGCGAGGTCTGTTAGGACAGGTGGAGGAGACAGCAAGGCAGAACTACCGTCGGTTGAACGTGGAGTTTCCTGGCAAAGAACCCTCATTAAACGCGGTCGAGAAGGTGCAGTGGATGACTAACCTCGCGGACAACAAAGCCAAGGTGGAGGTCCCAGCGGTCTTGACATCCCTTTTACTCGCTAGTCTTTTCTTTGAATTATCCTGTGCGCCGCGCTGGGTGGATGGGCACTATCATTGCAGTGGAACAATACGTTGCCGCCTTCCCGGCCAAACCCTTGTTGAGGCCCTCCGAGGACTTCATCCAGAGGCCTCCGCCTCCACGTACGTCATGGGTATGGACCGACTGGGCATCTCACCTTATGACGAAGCCGTGTGCCGACGTTGCACGAGGTACTGTGTCCCCATTCATTTCGTGGTCAGGGAGTTAGACAGCCCAATAGTATTATCGCTGCAACTTACCCGTACCCATCGCGAAAATCTAGGCGGGTTCCCGCTTACTTTGCGTTGGTTTTTGGATCAACAGGGGCTAGATGCGGTCGGCCACACCTCCAGCTTGCCAAGGCTCCCCGCACACACAGGATGCAAGTCCTGTGACGCGCGAGTTCAGCGTAAAAGCGCATTGCAGCCCCACAGCCGTCACAAGAGAAGAGTCCGATTCATTTAGATTTTAATCTTTATGTTCTTGCCTTTATAATTTCTCATTTTTCATTCTTTTTCTAAATTTTGTTTTCCTTGGAAATTAAAAAAAAAAAAAAAAAAAAAAAAAAAAAAAAAAAACCCAAGAAGAAGGGAAGAAGAAAAGGGTAAGGTTCGATTTCATAAAAAACAACAATCATTTGTCTCTGTAACAGCGTACACAACGGTTCAACTCAGTTTAAGCTAGCGGCCACGCTGCTATTGGCATCCACCATGTTTGGACGAGTGCCAATGGGCGTGCAGTACCCCTGTTGCAGATGCTGCTGCATGTGCTGACCAGGCTTGGGGCGAACCCAGGAAGTACGCCCACTGCTGTATCGCTCTGCGACATTCTGGCAGGCTACACTCAGAGCGGCTGCTTTCTGGCTTAGCTCCCGCTCTGCCTGTTCTAGGGCCATCTCCCTGGCCTCTAAGTGGAAGAAAAACGGTGAAATACTTTCAGAATCTCTCTCTTTGGGTGAAAGCATCGCTTCGAGTCGTTTGAGCTGCCCGCGGAGCTGCGAGAGTTCCCTGGTAGCCGCATCATATCGATGACATTCCAACGCGTATCCGTGGCGGAGTCTGCCATTTTCCTCGTGCGCAGTAGTAAGCTGTGTCTGAAGCATCTCGATATGGTATCGAAAGCTTTGTGATTCTGCGTGGTATGAGGCAAGCTGCTCTGTGAGGCACGCCATTTGTGAAAACGAATCCTGTGCCGGCACGGACGCTGGCAACTCCGACATCTACTGCATGTTAGCGAGACATGTAGGGGTCCATGGATATTCTGTATTACATTGCAGTGTGAGGATGTGTCCGTTTGATTTAGCTGTCAATCGAGTCGGGATTTTCTCTTCTGGAGACTTTTGCGAATTGACTTAGCAACGAGCTATATATACCCACGGATGCCAAGGCAGTGTCATCCTAATGACTCCGTTAATTTGATTGAACCCCGTCGTCCCTCGCACAAGTGTGACCATGATGGAACTGCAGACCTTGTTTAGTTGCTAGAAGCGGAAGGAGCTATGTCTTTGTCTGGTCAAGTTATATACGCTCGTTGTCGTTTTCTCCGAAGCATGATTATTGATCTTAGTCTCATTCAGGCATTACCTTGATATTGGTTCACCAGGCTCCGATACCACCTTTATCTTTACGACATGATCAATTCGGAAGTCCAGCAGGGAATGGACGAAAAGCTGGTTTGCTCCCCAACCTTTTTGTGGTACCTCACGCTGACCACCGACGAAGGAAGCTTTGGGTCGTGCACTTGAAGAAGCTGAACCCCCGATGAGCACCCATAGTAAGGATAGAATCGTTGCTGCTCTGGTCTGTATATGTCTTCATTGAAGTGATCCATTGCTTATGCCGTCTAGGTTGACCTGTTCCGGGAAATCTGGCCGGCGATACAGACATCCTATCCTGGGTTGGCCCAATTTATTACACGTTACAGGCCGATACATGAGATTGTGGGAACTCCTCAGCCGGAATCAGGGAGTGCCTGGACACTTTCTACTGTGGAGGCAGCTAGGGCGCCCGGGGAAAATGCCTCTGAAAGTTCCTCCGCTGACATTGAGGAATTGTTCATGGTGGACGCTATCGATACGGGCAATAGTAACCAAAGCGGCCAACTACAGCCAGACCAATTCAGCCCTGAGGGGGTCAGTGCGATCGATTCTCTCGTACCAGAAATCGGTATCAACGCTGCTTTACAAGCCTGCGGACCAAATCTAAGCAACCGTATGTATTCACTCCCGGACATTTTATCCAATACTGATACTTTTGCCAGGCGAGCTTGACGACCTACTTGCGTTGGCCGATAGTTTTTCCGGCATTGGGGACCTGCCGCCCGCCGAAGATTTTGATTACTCGTTGTTTGTCACCCAGTCTCCCGCAGGCGTGGGTTTGGAGGTTCCACCATTGCCGTCGGTCGGGTCTAGCAGTGACTGGATCACCGACAACATCATGGCCGATAACATTTCATTGGACCTTGCGGATGCCACTTCCACGGATCATAATATGAGGATCATCGAAAGCGAAGCCGAAACAACAAATATCACTTTTGACAAGCCGAGACACGTAGTTGACTTGGATTCGCCCGTCTCCGTCGGCGAAGACTTTCCTGTCGTGGTGCAGGCAATGCAGGATTGCGGATCGAGCGCGTGTGCTCGAGAAGCCGAAAATGAGATATGCGTCATCTCGGCGCACTCGGAGAAGGGGTTGGATATCAACAGGATGGTAGAGGAAACCGGGTTGGCCCTATTGAAGGGTGATGATATCTCGCTTGACTGGATCCCCCCCAATGATCATTTCCAGTGCGCATGGGGTGTGTTTAGTGGCCAGGACCTTAAAGTGATGCTTCATGACCTTCTTCACCCATCCAGAATGATAAGTGAGCTCACAGTTGACTATTTTGCGCGGAAGCTATTTGCTAGACAGGCGCCTCCTGGATCGTGGGTCGGCAGGGAACATGAGTTAGACAAGCTAACCGAACTGCGATACCGGAAACTTGTGATCCTTATCAGAGAAGCCGAGAAGTGGTCACTGATTGAGGTCCAGCTCTATGCTAGCAAAGTCATTCACTACAATTGTTACGCGGCCGACCAATCGACAACCCCATCCTGGGATCACAGTGGATGCTCTTCCTGCCTCAGGATAGGCGAGCGTGTAATGCAATTATTACACCAGCAACAAGACGCAGTGATGCCCTGGGAGAACCTGGCAAGTAATATCACCACGTCGGCTCCAGATATAGCCTGGCTTATCTGGACCACGCGCGTCCTAGCCGCCGAGCAAATAGATTTGTCTCTCTTGACAACGACGGAGTATCGATTCGAACTGGCCCAAGAGATACTCTTTGATCTCAAAGCAGCCCAGACCGCCCAGCTGACTGTCATGTCTCGAAATTATCCTGCTCTAGCCAATGACGAGCAGACACTCGCGGCATTCTACATGGACATGGGTGCGAGGACCATGTGCGGCGATCAACTCTGGAGAATAGTGCAGGGGTTGGCGGAGTCCGAACCCGGACGTCAACAATTGGGTCTCCAGCGCGCTGCCGAATTGTTCCAACTCGCCATCGGTGTTGCTTCACCTGAGGCTCTGACAATGCTCAAAGGATGTCTGCGCGAGTTGCGGTCGCAATCCCAGCCACCAGACGAATACCCGGAAACCGCCGGTGGGGTCTTTCGTGCGCTACAAGCCTTTTCTAAGAAGAGCCATCTCTCCTCGGTAGGACTTAGATTGGCCCAGTGGAAGTTGCACCGGATGAAAAAGGGTTCGGAATCTTTTGCGAAGGAAATCGCTCTTTCCATTGCACCTGGAAAAGAAGCTCCTACGTCTGCCGAGATCAGCCGTGTTCTAGCAGGGTACAATAAAGGAGTCTACTGGAATAATCTGGTGGAAGCCGCTGGTAAAAACGACCCGAATATCCTGTGCCTCATTCCTCCCATTGTTGTTGGGCCCCCTCCCTGGCTGCGCAATTTCAGGCCCACCGCATATCGGGACATGCCTATAGCCGAAAAAGCAATATTGGGGACCATTCTCTGGAAATTGAAGCGCCAAATTTTTATGGGCGTGGATACTAATCTATCGAGTGTTTTGCTCTACATGAGACCCCCGGCAGATCTTTACCCACTGGAAGAAACAAGCGATGAATCTATTTTGCAGAATGACTCGTTGTCATTTGACCCCCACTTGTTGAGAGGGCCTGGTCGTGTGTAGACCACCGAACCAGAGAGCACTGCAGCAAGAGCTATATCTTTTTCGACAACTTTCTTGGCTTGATGAAAATCGCTCGTCTTAAGGCTAGGGAGTTACCTCTCGTGAATAGTGAGAGTAAATTTGACTCGCCGAACCCATGAGATGGAAAACTGTCAACATGATGTATGTAGCAGAAGCTCGTTCCGTTTATTTAGTTCCTCGCATCATTCACTCTTATTTGCATTTCCACGGCCCATGGTCAGAGGTCGATCTCCAAAACTATACTTGTGCCCATAGAACAGCTGCGGACTGCATGGTAGTCATCAGGTTTTAAACAAACGTCAGCGCAATATTCGTTGGGTTCCTTGAACAGGCCAGAGATAAGGGTCAACATTTGAATTATTGATCAAACGAATGCCACCCAGCACGCTCTGTTCCATGGATGCGACTGTGTTTGCCGTTGCCAGTAGGAATGCCATGACATTGCAGATATAACTAGCTGCTGTCATATTGAAGACGCGCGTACAGAACTGAGCGCTTGGCAACTGGTCTGCAATATAAGTCCGCAAATGCTCATCCTGAACCAGCCTGACCCAACATGCAACTTTCGTGCCGAGAATTAAGACCCAAATAACCGCGACAGGGTGTTGCACACAAAGTTGAAACCAAGATTTTGAATATGACAGTACACACTTTGTACTGCGGAGAACAGAAAGAAACTAAACTCAGGGTGACACTGGCTTTGCAACCCAGTAAACCAGCCTACTCTGGGTTTGTACTAAGGACATCTTTTGACTGATTCACCAGTCACTCTCCTTCTGTTAGTATCATTTTTCTTTCAATCGATCATTATGGACTTCTCGATTTGTTACATCTTCTGCATTGTGTTAACAACTCGATCCACCGGAGCCACGGACACAAAAATGCAATGCAATACCCCAGATACGAGCGTGCCCCCGGGATACTCTGAGCCTCAGAGTTGCGGTATCACATCGTGGGTTCAATGACTTGTTCTTCGTAACTTATTTGCTTATTTAATACCGTTCGGATGATAAACACAGACTCTGGCATTCTATCTGCTAGTGCTCATACGTTTTGCACGTGCGACAAGAGCCACTATGATATCAGCACCCTGACTCTAGATAAATCAACATATCTTGCGTGCGCTTTAGACGGTCCCCATTTAAGCACGATTTCCAAGCTCTCTGACACGGGATCGAACGTCTATCCGTCAAACATTGTGGGGCCACCGATGGACGACACAATCCATAGTTCTGTCCAGCATGTCGGATACGTCCTGGGCTTCTCCAACCACAAAGTCACACGTACATTCAATTACATCCATGCTCACTTCCCACACTGCACGTTCTGCGGATACCTTCCTGGAATGGAGCTCCAAAACAGCATTCCTCACAGGTATGATCCGCGCTACAACAGCTCCCTTTTCGCCGCACCTCAAACCATGGGGCTCAACATTCAAGGTAGCAGACGCTATCTCCGCTGTGGGTAGGTGACTTTGATGGGGGTTGTTGTCCTCGGTCACTTTGTAGGGAAACACTCGATCGATTATTCAGACTTCTACTTTGAAGGTTCAATTGACCTTTGCTGCGGCTGCTGACAGTAGCTGTCGGATCGCGTTTAACTCCACGACATGCAGGCACGTTTATCATTCAATAATCGCGGGGGATCTTTCTTGTCCTAGAAGTTATGACTGGACTATGGGAGGGATGGGAGTCAGTGAATGTGGTAATTTCTTGCTCACTGGAGCACCGTATGGTACCATGAACCATTTTACAGTAATGTATTCTTTCAATAAGTGGATGTTAGTCGTATTCTTCCCCAGAGATTAATTTCTAATACAGCTCAGCGATACAGCCTTTCCGGAAAACGGTGTCACCACATACACTCTTCCGTTCCTTTCCAGAGCCTAATGCCAAGATAGACCACCCCACAGCTGGACGAACGGGTAATCTACTCTAAACATGAGTGCAGCTGTCACCAGTGCTTAGCTGCATAAGGAATAGTGTGCCTCGGGAACAAGGCCTTAGGAAAGGAAGGAGAGTAGGTGGTGACATCGTTTCCCGGAAAGGATGTAACCACGATGCACCGATCAATAGGACCTCGTGAGAGAAAGTCTGTACTCTGGTTGATATCGAATTGACCTTCATTGATCGAAATCGTGGTTGTGTTGTGCGTGCCGAGCGGAAACTAATCGCGGCCCGATGGCGGTTCCGCCTGCGGGTGATCCCGAAGACACCCCAAGAACTCCGGAAAACTCTGCAAGGCACGGTGGTGAAGCTGCACCCCTACCAGTAAGAAAAGGGCGATCTACGGGGTCACAAACCCAGAGTGCAACCATCCCAGCCGTCGAATTTCTTTCTCTTGACGATGGGAAGAGCCGGATTACGACCCAAATGGTGCAGAGCCTGATCACCAACCTCAAGGAGATCATCCAACGTCAAAACGAAACCATTGAGTCGACCCGACGGGAGATTCGAGAAATTCGGAGCGAGCAGCAAACGCTCCAGGACCAGAATGGGGATCTACTGAAGGAACTCCGTAACCTCCGAGCACAAATTGAAGCTCAAGCAGCTTCCCCCCCACCCAAGTCGTGGCCTTCTCATCTGATGGCCCGCTGGCATCCGACTCGCACGATAATACAGTACGGCTCTGGGATCTGGTTACGGGCGCTCTGAAGCAAATCCTGGGCACTGGTGGTTGTGGCACGGAGCTGGAATTTGCGCAAGAGAGCTCCTACCTCTCTAGTAATCGAGGACCATTCAAGATCCAATTCAGCTGTGGTAGATCTATCGCCGATTCACCGAATATGGACCCATACATATCTCTATAGAGAGAATGGATAGCTGTAAATGGGTAAGAAGTTCTATGGCTCCCTCGCGAAGCTAGGTATTCCTATTCAGCGCCAAGTCGAACATGCTCGCCTTAGGACATCCGTCCGATCGCATATCCTTTTTAGGATTCCGGAAATAACCAAATCAATGAATCCTCGTTTTCTGAACCCCTATATTTTAAGTATCTTTACAAATAAAGGGCCTGGCAGACGGACAGAATATATTTAGAGCTATGTCTTTCAAGAACATGCTACTTGTTTCTAGTTCTAATACGATGGCGAGTCCATATGGTCTAACTTAGTCGCCACGGCTCCAGCTGCTGAGTCAGACTTATTCTCCAGCCCACAGGGCCATAGGCTTTCCTAAAATCAACTTAGTCATACCGGTCTATAATTGGATAATTTTTAGGAGAGACTTGTACTTAAAAACCCGTCGGTCCGGCGCCTTACCAAGCCCTGGAGTTGCCCTCTAATCCGTACTCATTTTCCTGACTAGTGCGGCTTTTCCCCGGCGTGTAATTCCCCGGGAAGGGCACTCTATGAACAAGGCTTGGCAGTGGGGCCAAGAACAAAGAAGAGAGAGTGAGGTGTTGAAACTGGATTCGCACTTCACTGTATAAGGAAATATATAGTGAGATAGGTGAGCGAGATCCTGCATATCGCCGATGTCGGCGAGGGACCAGCGTATGAACACACACTCACACACACGCACAGGCTGTAACTACTACTGACATGTAAAAGTCAGTCGATGCGAGGTTGATCTTTGGCAATGTTTAGAGACGTGAAGGGAGGATACTGTACACATTAATAATAGTTTTGGTCAATAATTGTTTCACGAGAAACCAACGCAGTGGTCATTTTTCTCATTTGGATGAGCCCGGAGCCTTAGCCTCCTTTGCGTACTCTCAGGCCCCAGAGAAATAGATCAAGTCCCAAGAAGTTGCCAGTTTTCATGGTCTACCTAATATTCAAATACTGCTGCTATGCCAGACTCTGGTCAACTGATGTCCCTGTTGAGGAGTACCATGTGGCGACCACGAAACTTCCCCTCGTTGAGGGTACTCTCTTCACTAGTTCCTGCAAGCTGGAAAGAATCCGTTCACCAGGAAAGCAAATCTATCTCGCCCACCCTCTATGTGAAAATGCTGATCGACATGGAAAATATTCCCCTGCTTGATAATATCCTAGCTGCGTCTTTTTCCTGGATCCTCTTAGCAGGATATCTTGTTTTTCCCGGAACATTTGCCTCTCTTCGCACCTCCCAGTCACTCAAGGCTAATGCGGTCAAAAGCAACATCGGAGAATCGATATTTTTTGCTGTTCAGAATATTTCGCTCCTAGCAGTCGCTGCTGTGTGTTGTGCGGTGGGTTTGTTTGGCACAGGATGGTTATATTACAAAAGAAGGGACAATTATGTTTGGCTTGCGAGAAAGATATTCTTGTACGCTATCACACGAACTGGGCTTAACGAATTGATGTTAACCAGCTGTATTAGACCAGTATTGATTAATTCAGTGACAGGATTCCTCAATACGTTTGTCAATATATACACGGCACAGGCCGGCTTGTGGTCCGTGACAGCGACAGTAACTGCTGCCGTGACCGGCTCTTTCGCATTTATAGCGAGCATTCTTTTCCTGATTTACAACAATTGGCTTTTCTCAAAGCTACAAAAAGCCTTTGAGGACAACACGAGGAATCCCTAGCATGCCATGAACGCTCTCTACATATTAGTCGTCGACTGAAGTGTCGGATCGTCACTGTCAAAAAGAGTTTTTGAGATGATTTCGGCCACGCGTGCCTCTCATAGAGCTATTCGTTATGGAACTTTCCAGTGGCCACATATACAGATTTTCCGGGAACTGGTGTCACCACCTACTCAGTTTCCTTCTTTCTTAGACCTTCGTACCGAAGCAACTCTATCCCCTGTACGGTTAAACTCTGGTAATAGCTATCCACTCTGGTATGTATAAGGCAGGTTAGAAGCCCGCTCTAATAGGTGGTATTCCGTCTTGGTAATAGAATCAAGGACCGAATCAAAGAGTGTAGGTAGTGGCATCAGTTCCCGAAATGTCTGTGTCTGACTTCCAGAACTGTTCCTTAAGGATTTGCTCATACTTCAAGATACAAGGTCTTACTGTTCCTGATTTCCTGAGTTATGCCTGTCTAC